TCCTTTTCTGAACACAAGGGGATTGTGAGACACACTCAGAAAATACTGCTGTTTGAGAATTTATCAACCTATAACTCTCAGACTCTGCTCAATTCCCTCTTCATGAAATATTTAACTTTTTCATAGGAAATTCTGTGCCTTATTCTCAACAAGGGCCAAGCCTAACTATTCTACCCTCATTAATTTGTTTATTATTTTGAGCAAAATAGGGACAGTTTATACTGAGTGTGGTTCCCTTCCTAGCTCCAGTCTTTGTTGGTGGAAGAGTTGGACTAATGTCCTTGACTTAAAAAGCAAGAAAAGTGGGTTTTTTCTCAACAATTTTCTTGGCAACTATTCACCCCTTTTGGTGCCCACGTCATAGCAGGCTAACCTTAACCCTGACAGTTTTGTCAGGGAGATAGGAGTGACTCCGACAGTCCCTTGTTTTGCCTGCATGGCTGAAAGAAGCACTTATGGATAATTTAAGGCACAACTTAGTGTGTTTAAAAATAGCATTGAATCTATGTACAAACCCTATGAGCTTGGAAAAAGTAGTCAATCATTCCTGTCAAGTTCCTTATCAATGAAATGAAAATATTGCAAAATAAATTGTTAAAACCTCAGTTAAAAATAAAATAAATATTTTATTTATTTTAAATATTGCAAAATAAATTGTTAAAACCTAGGCCTTAAATGTACAATAGAAGAAACACTGGAAAACGGTAGAAAAAGGACTTATTTGGAATTTAAATCTAATTGAAACAGCTTGATTTTTTAAACTCCATATAATTACAATAACAAATAAGAAAATAATATTGAGGTGGACAGTTTTGGTGTAAAATAACTATCCTATTTGAACCTTGGTGTTATGATCTTTATACAGAGGAGCTGGGGATTTAGGTCAGCAGCACAGCTCCTGCCTGGCAAGTGCAAGGTTGTGAGTTAGATTCCTGGTACCAGAAGAAAAAACAAAAATAAAAAAAAAATCTTTATACAGAGAAAATAGTAACAGCATTAATAATTATTCAAGAAGTGAAAGTAAAAAAAGAAAGCAGAGGCACTAGGATGGAATTAACGTTAATTATTTTTAAATTGTTACACACTAGTGATGAAAAAACAAGTTGCATTTTCACCAAAGTAAAATAGCATTTGAGCAAAACAAAGTATCTTCTTAAAATATTTTCATTTCTGATGTATGTATACATATATATATATTCTGAATTCATATGAATATATTCTTTAAAGGCAAATATTGAGAAATATAGTCCACAAACCTAAAATAAGGAAATGTCCATGGAGCAATAAATACCAAATATATTAATATACTTAAACACTAGTGTTTTTCACTTTTTTCAAGAATATTACAATCCCACAACTAACAATGAATATCTCATTGCAAAAGTTAAGTGTATATTTTAATAGAAAATAATCAGTAGACCAACGTGCAATACTTCTAAACATAAAATTAAACAGCTTCAAAGCATATTTTAATAACAACTTGAGTTAAATTTCTTCTTTTTTAATCTTTTTGAGACAGGTTTTACTATGCAGTTCAGGCTGCCTAGAACTCACTTTGTAGCCGAGGCTTGGGCTTGGGCTCACAGTGATCCTTCTGCCTCAGCCTCCCAAGTGCTGGGATTACAGGTATATGCCACCGCGTCTGGCAGTTAGGTTTTATTTTTTGATTGTGTTTTGAAAGAAATATGACCAGGCCTAAAACCCTGGCAAGCTTGAAATATCGACGGAAACAGATCAGGGAAGTGACAGCTTCACCACGAGGCTACCAGCTTTCTCCACTCCACCTCATATTCATCTTTCATGAGATCAAAACCAAATCCATTACTACAAATTAATAGTCATTATGACATTCACATGTCATGAATTATTCAAGCTTGACTGAATCCCATAGTCCATACTAAATTCCTTGAATGCTATTCGTTTTAAGTTTGTGCTAATTGAAATAAGTGTTTGCTAGAGAAAAAACATGTACATAAGATTGTAAAATAATTTCAAGACATAAAGTGTAAAGCAAGCAAATGTACTAAATAGGCATATCACTATGACATCTACGGTACATATGACAGCTCTTTCTGAATATTTTAAACTGTATAGTTAATAATGTGCCTTCGGTTCCCGGTACCGGAGAAAAACAAAACAAAAACAAAAACAAAAACAAAAAAAAAAAAATGTGCTTGATACTATAGGCCTTTAAGCCCAAATTCTTCATTTTGTTGCAGTTTCAGGCAAGCATATTTTATCATTTTTCACAAATTCATAAAATAATAAACACCCTAGAAGTCATCTGTACTAAATGGAATAGTATTCATAATCTTGTAGCAACAAATTACAGAAGAATTACAATGAAAGTATATCACTGCAAGCAAAGATTGGCATCTTTCCAAGGCATCCCAGCCCCAGTGAGATGGCTCTGTATTTTAGACGTGTTCCATGTCACGCCACCTCTATCTCCATACATGCTTCCAACACCCTGTGCAGGGGAAGGATACCATGAGCTCTTCTATCAGCTCTCCTAGAAGTCGGAGGACAATTTCAAACTTCAAGAGGCCATAACTGTTGTCCAGAATTTGAGTGAAAGCAGGAATATGAGCAGGCAATAAGAAATGCCTACTAAATCAAACTAGTACTTTCATTTTCTGGCTAACCAAAATGAGATCGAAACTAAGACCACAAGATTAGCAAATAGTAGAGATGAGTTCATGACATTGCTCATTACTAATTTCATAAATTGGACTGTCTTGAAAATTATGGCTCTTAACCTGGTTTGATAATAACAGAGAACACTCTTGCATTATTTTTGACTGGGGAATTAAAGCATGAATCCAAAGTGAATATTTCTTTCTGGAAATGAAGCTCACTTGAGATTATGATACCTTGCAGGTATCAGTCCCCACAGGCACAAATAATAATAATTATATGGAAATAAATATATAAACTTCCACTATGGGTTATTTAAAGACTATGCTTTGCTTCCATTATAAATGTCTTCTGTGTATCCTAAAGCCAAACATGGTCCTAGATGTCTAACTGAGTACTACCCAGCCCAACAATCTTTATATTTACCATACAGTCTCCAGAGAAGAACAGATAAATACTATAATTCATGGAGATAATGTAGGCTTTTAAGTGTTTAGAAAATTATAGAAATTTTATTTTACCTGGAAGCTAAATTAGGTAACTATGATAAGGACTTGGATTTCCATTGCATATCACAAAACTTTTTAGATTACAATATTCTGAGTAAGAATTTTGTCAGGGTACCTTTACCCTAACCTGAATGCATACATTCCACAAACATCCAAATATTGGCATTAGTAGCCAGAAATAAAATGTGGTGCTCACATTATACTTTCCTGAAATATGCATAGTTGGATAAAGGGTTATGTTTCCATTCAGAAACGAAGCCTATTATTCAGATAAAATTCCTGTCATCATATTTTCGTGTTGTAGAAACAAAGAAAGCCACACAAACCTTGCTCATTCATTTATATTTCTTTGGTCAGTTTTACCAGTGCTTATTAATATTCACTGAGGAAATCACAAGGCAACACACACACACACACACAAATCATGAATTACAGAAAGTTATCCATTTCTTGAGACTAAGTCCTGTTATTCACCAACCAGTTCTGGAATCCCAAATTTATTATATATAGTAACAATAATATGCATACAGTAACAAGTCTATAGTGATATAAAAATCTACATAGAGACATTTGGAAAACTACTGTGTTTAACAGATCCATTTGGAATGATGCTGTCTGTAGAATACCATTTTCCTGTTATAGTCTTAAGCCTTGATATTTTGTACAAATCTGGTTTAAAAAAGGAAGCAGTGGTAGATGCTTTGCTGTTTTCTGTTGTTGCTATTATTGTTGCTTTTGAAATGCATACCTGAATAAAAGAGATTGAGGTAATAAGGATCTTTATATGAGGTTATGAACTTAAGTAATTGAGAAGGTCCCATTTAGTATCTACTTTGAGATTTCTCTTCATGTTGCCTTTTTGTCTGTGAAAGTTTGAGTTTTACTTACACTCTGCTTCAGTTATGCTTTTGGAGAGAAAAAAAATTCAATAAGCAGTGGAAAGAAAAAATGCACTGGACCAGTTCAACAAGCAAGGAATATTTTAATCAAAACTATTGCAAGGGAAAAGAGAATGGAGTCCCCTTCATTAAAACAAAAGGCACGAGATTTTTAAAGTTGGGGCAGGCCAGTACAAAGCGCTAGAGAGTGTTAGTCAGGAATGAGGTTGTTAGAGATGAGGTTTGCCAGTGGTTGCTAGGACATCAGTACTGGACAGTTGTCATTTATCAAAGAAGGTAACCTCTTAGTTTCCTCCAGCTTCTGGGTGATCCTGGTGCTATCTTTGCTGTTGACTACATTGCAAGGGAAAGGCTTTCTGGTCTTTGAGAATTCCTAGGTTGTAGAAGATTTACGTCTCACAGGCACAAGAAAAATGTGTAATTGAAAGTTTTCTAAAGTAAACCCTTTCATAAAAGGAGAGTCAGGAGAATAGAGTCAGGAGATACCGTAGGATACAGTCAAGCTAACTATTGGCACTGTCTTGTTCAGAACTGAATAGGGTGGTTCATGCTCATAGCCTGCCTTTGGCGGAAGTGACTGAACTGAGGAGGTGAAGGTAGACCGACAGCAAAGCGAGCGAGCTGTTGTGAGACACTGTATAGTGAGGGTTATGGAGAAAAATGAATGTGTGTTCTCTAGAAGTACAAAACAAAATTTGTTCTTTCTGGATACTTTCTAGGAAAAAAATTTCTTCTTAGAAAAGGTATAGCTGACAACTGTTACTTTGCTGAACGTTATAATTTGTAATTTTTGCTTTTATTCATTTACATTATTAAAGCCTTTCTTCTGTTAAAGCTTGTAAACATCATAAAAGAAGGGACAGAACTCTATTTTTGTTAATTTAGGACCACAGATTCAGTACCTCGAACAAGGTCTGCATAAAGCAAAGAGCAGGTGAGTGGCAATGAAGAAGATTTCAAAATCCAAGTTTCCTGCCTTCTATATCTCTGCACGTGGAACACATATGACATCGCTTCTTTCATTACTTTGCTTACGTTTTCACAGCTGAATTAAGTCTCTTCCACCTTCTCTCCTTTTGTTTGCCTGCAGAAGATTCTGGAAGACAAAGTTTCTATGATAAGCACTGGTGGTGCGGTATAGCCCCCTCCGGCAGCCTGCACTGTCACCAGCAAGAGCGGGTAGTTGCCACATGTCAGACAGAAATCACCAAAGGAGTAGTTATGATTGCATTAAAGTGCAAGTTTATTACAGAAAAGAAGCACAGAAGATGAGCCCAGAGCCAGGGTAGGTAAGTTAAGAAGGAAAGCAAACTGCTCCATGGGCAGAGGATCCCAGGCAAAGGAGAGCAGAGCTGGCCTCTCCACAGCCACAGCGGCCCAGGATAAAGGATGTATTTCATTTGTACAGGGTCTCAAAGAACTGTCACTAGTTAATCATGGGCTTTTCTCGTGAATGAGTTGGGTATCCAAACTGGGTGCAGTGTATTTACTGCATAGGCACCAGTTTGAAAACTTAGGATCAGTTCTTGCTCTGATTTGTCACCTTTTTTACTTGTAGCACTTTCCTATAGGTTGCCCATATATCCCAGGGAATATATTGGATTTTTTACTTAACCAGGGGCCTGATTTGCCTTTCCTTCTATTACCAACAGTTGCACAAATCTGATCTTTTTTTGTTTCAGAATGCTACTGCAAAGTGCTGCCAATACCACAGTCTCTGAAAGAGAGCGTTGTGTGCATCTGTCCCTAACTCTGACAGGGACATCACATTGGTAACTTCTAATTGGCTGGGAGAGGAATATTTATAACACAGAAAGGAACAACCCCAGAAATCACAGTTTTGCTCCTCTGAAAAAGTGGTATACAACCTTTGTTTTTCAGTACTAGGGACTGAACCCAGGACCTTGGTACTGAACTACATCTCAAGCCTTTTTTGTGTTACATTTTGAGACAGGGTATCTCTAAGTCATAAAGATGCCCAAGCTGGGCTTGAATTTTTAATCCTCTTCATCACCCTCCCAGTGTGCTGGGATTAGAGGTATGCTCAGGTGATTAAACAACTCTATCAGCTCATAACTGGAATTTCTATCCTACAGCTAAGAGGTCAAACAAAAATTATTAAACAAAACAAATCTGATAGAAAAAGAAAAATGGCATAAGCAAAACAGAATCTAATTTATTTTCTAATGCTAATATTTTAAAACTGTAACATTATAGAGTTAAAATTTAAAATAAAGTATTTTACTCTCTCACACCTTTATCATTTTCACATATTATGTTTCCTAAAGAACTGTTTGGTATTTGAAAATACTTAAGGGATATAAGCTGTTGGATTTACATTTTTAAAATAGGATTCAGAAATGTTAAAAGAAAAATTTAACATTGATAATAAAATAAACAATTCATAGGTACCGAAAGCATGTTTTTCTTTGTTAGTCATTATTACAATTTAAAAGAAACAAAAAGATCTCTGAATCTAATTTAGAAGTTTTGCATGGCTATATCTGTTTCCTTTCTTGAAAAAGTCACATTAGCATGATAGTTCAGTAGGGAAACCAACAAACCTTTGTCTTTTATAAATGGTGTTGAAATCTGATTTCAAAATTTTACAACTCAGAGAAATGTAGCCCTTGATAAAAATAAATAATTTAAAAGAAAACTGAAATTAATAGAAGAAAATCATGCCATAAAATATACTAACATAAACTAAATGAAGACTTAATTGAAGGCATTAGGCTATGGTAATGCAACTTTGATATCTATATTCTTAAACGTGTCATAAAACACATGTTGAAAACTAAGATGGAAACAGATAAAGCTATCAATTAGAAAGCTGTAAAATATCAGTTACTTGGCAGTCACACAGGAAAGAAGAGAGCTACGTAATGTTTACCAAGTTTTGTGGAGTTTATTAACCCACCATGTTGGACTTGAGAGCTTTATTAGCAGGTTGAAAACAAAATTTAAATGTATTTCAAACATTGTAGATGCCAGTAGACAAGTGGAGACCTGTTATTTCAAACCATTTCTTTTCTTTGAAATGTGGCAATATTACATTAAATGAAAAATATCCTAACAAAAGTTGTAAGATCTAATTAAAACAAAGATAAGTCTGATACAAGTAATACTCCGCCCTCCAAGAAATAATCTCAGAGAAGAAAAGCTAAACTGTCACAGGAATGAATGGAGTTGATAAGATGATAAACAATTTAGAAAGTGTGTATGGTCCTCAGAGACAAGAAAGTGTAGCCAATGATTCACCTGCTGGAATTAGAACATTCAGTAGTGTCTGAGAAAACCAGGCAGCAGCTGAACATCTGTGACTAAGTAACATGAACTCCTGATCAGATAGCCAAGTGATCCAAAAGAAAATCACTTCCAAATATGCTACTCCTCAGATCAATTCAATTCTGAAGAATATTAAAGCAAATAAGCTTGCCAGCATCTGTAGCTGGCAAAAGAATGAAACAACCTGGGCCAGTATCCCAGCTTCAATATCAGTTATTCAAATCCTCGATATCCTATCACTGTACAAACAAGTACAATACTTCTGTGCTACCAAAAAATGATGCCCATGATCCAGAGAAATTCGAGCTGATATCCCAGGGGACTTTTTAAATACCTTATTCCATTTCTCAAAATACTTGATAACTTAGCCATGTAAAAATATAGTAGAAAAATAAGTTTTTAACAAATACCACTAAACATATGGAAATTGCATTTGAAAGAGATAGTGACAGTTGTTGTGCTTGTGGTTTTATCAGGAGAATGCAGCACAATAAACTGTTTAAACCAATGTGCCAGAGCCTCTAATATGATAAATGATGATCATTTAGTAGAGTTCACCTGAAGATCTTTTTAAATGAAGTAAGGGATGATAGCTTGAGCAATCAGAGAAGACAAGACATGTAACTTTCTATAGTCTTTTCCTCTATTATTATTGTTCTTTCATTCATTCTTCTATCCTTTTATTCTGTTTTATACCTCCAGTCTAAAATAACTACATGTGAAGAGCAGAACTTAGAGGTTCATCTATGTATATTTGCATTGTTTGGGAAGAACTCTACTGCCAGATCAACAAATCAATATAATATCTTCCTAACCATATCCTTAAATAAACACTATATTATCTATTTTTTTAAAAGAGCATCAGTGAGGATTATCACACTGAACCACTAACAAGTCAATTAGTCATTTAGAAATTTAACCCTAGTTAGGTCCAGATTTTAATACTATTTTTTATTTTAGTCTTCAAGATCTAAGCCAGAGTCTCACACATACAAGGAAATTGTTCTCCTAGCTACTGAGCTGCATCCCAGCCCCCTGACATTCTTGACTGTACCTCAGTGGCTAGAGAAGATGTTTGCAAAGCATGATAGTAAATTGCAGAGACCAAGACAATGTCCTGTGTTTCATAGTCTCTCAAATGCTCTCTTCTGACTTTGCTCCTCAAGGACCTACTTGCAAACCTTAGTACAGCCACTACTAAGGTGTTTACCAGTAGAAGTCAAAAGACCTCAAAAATCTAACACACAGAGAAACAGAGAAAAGAAAATGGATTGCTGAAATTCAGTTCAGTTGTTGGTCCAAATGACAGATTAAAAACTATAGGTCATTTAATTATTAAGACCATAATTAAACAACTCTGGTGTTTATGTTTAAAACTCATTCTGAAATGCAGTCAATGAAGCTTCCTTCATACCATATAGTTAACTCTGTCTCATTAGCCTGGCAATTTTTGTGGAAGCAGAGGGTTACAAGGAGAGAGAAAAAAGAATTAAAACATCAGCTTAAACACAAAACTGGACCGCAAGCAACACTGTGAGAGTTGAGAAAGCAAGAACCGTGGGTTCCAGTGCTCCCTGCCAAGGTGGGAAGGACTAGTGAACCACATCAGACTCTACTCAGGGAGGAGAATACACGTGTCATGTGAAGCGCTTGACATTCCTGGATTTATTTCTTGCCATGTTCTAGGCTAGCCTAATAAATACAGCCTTAATAACTTGAAGCAGCCCCAAAGTTCAGATGTTTAAGAAATAAGACTTCGGGGGCTGGGGATTTAGCTCAGTGGCAAAAGCGCCTGCCTGGCAAGTGCAAGGTCGTGAGTTCGGTTCCCGGTACTGGAGAAAAACCAACAAAAAAAAAAAAAAAAAAAAAGAAATAAGACTTGGTTTTCTATAGCTTGATCTTCTATAACTTAAATTGTACTCAAGCCCCTGCCCTCATGCTAGGCATGTGGAAAACTAGGATACCAGCATTTTGTGGCTTTCATCTCCCTCTTCTCACCAGCATTTCATTCTCCCCCACCTGGGGTCTTTTCTTTGGCAAGGGGTAGAAGGCACTTAGGCATTAAGTCTCCTATGACCATCTCCAATCATAGAAGGAGAGCATCTTTGAGATGCAGATGTTCTCTTCCTGTTCATTTACTTTTAGACCAATTTGGCTTTTCCTGTTAGGGTGCTCCATTAGCATGACCTACCACCTCTAGATGCTTTAATAGAGGTTGAGCTTGCCCTCTGAGGTCAAGGACTCTCTCACACACAGTTGGCAGTGGCCCGTGTGCATGCCTCTGCTTTCTTCTTAACCTGCCTCTTCAATTTGGCTGGGGTTAAAGGGTTTATTTTGTCCAAAAGTACAATTTTTCCCTTCATGAATTTGATTGAGATGTAACAACCATTATCCAGATCTTCTTACTCTGTTCTGGGATGTGTTAATAGGCTTTATTTCTTAACTTTTCTTGAAGTTTTATGATCTGAGTTTCTTCTTGTGAACTTGCACTATTTCAGAATATAAAAATATATGTCCATTATCACATGGCTTTTAATATATCAGTAAATAAATGGTTGCTTTTGGAGTAAATGAATCCATTAATGAATGTAGCAAAAGAATATAAGGATGCTTTTGTGTATACCACCTTGTGACTCAAAATAATGAAGATTAATCCTATTGGTCACTGGTGGCATGACTGCTGGCCCCAAGAATACCTGATCACCAAAATATTCATTGTCTCTAATCACTGCATAATCCAAGTTGCCACAAAATCTGTATTTTTATCTAAGAGAAGTCTTTTCACTCTGAAGTATCCAATCTCAGCTTCCTCTGTTGTCTAGAATTGGTCATTATTAATTCTTCACCCCTCACTGATACCTTATACCCCAGTCTACGAATGCATTAATGTGACCTCATCAGCCATTTCCTCCCCCACAACCAAAAGTCTTGTCTTTCTGAACTCTCAAACTATCACCAACAAACACACCTTCATACTGTGTCTTCTGCACAGTTCCCTTCCCTTTTGATTGTAACAGAAATGTTACAGTCCACTGAGGGAATGACCATTGAGGAAAAGCTTGTCTTTCCCTTTATTCACATACCATACACTTCAGAAATAATAGATGTGTCCTTGTACTTGAGTAAACATTTCAGTAAAAGGAACACTTTTTTAAGTAAAAGAAATAATGCTTCAGAGCAACAGGTCAACAGGACTTCTCCAGACAATCATGAACTATTGCCACTTCCAAGCTATTTCTTGCTTTCAGTGTTCCACAATTTCCTTTTCTTTGATGTGTGTTACTTATCTACCACCCTTTAATTCTCCTAGTTTTTCCCTTAAAACCCCTTATGTCCTTCCACAATGAGGCCACTAGTGATTTCAGGAGTGCTCTGACTGCCTTCCCCTCTGGCAGCACTCCTACTCTAATGGCAAGCCCCTGAATTCCAAGTTCTTAGACATCTTTTTCTCTGCTGACCTTTCCTTCAATTAACACTCACGTGATCAGATGTCAAAGTAGAATTTGTCAATAACACATGACGGCTGCAAATTGATTTCAAACATCCCAATGCACTTTTATTCTTTTGGCTTACTTGCTCTACTATCCCAACTCCAAAACTACATAAATTTTGACCATTGCAAAAAGTGGATCACTGATTCACTATCTATTGCCTTGTTCCTGAGTGTATTTCCCTCCCCGCCCACACTGCTTGGGCAGTCCAACGTTACATCTCCTTCCTAGAAAGCATGCTTAGTCATTTCACCTTTCTTTGCTTTATTGTAATACTTGGAAAAATTCCCAACTCAGATGAAGTCATTTACTCTGCCTCTATCGTAAAGTTACAAAAGATATTCCTAGAAAAGCATGACCAATTCTGATGATGGGTTTTCCTTCAAATATGTGACCAAAAATTTCAAATGCATAATCAAAACTTTGATGTCATATCCTTGCTCACTGACAGGCCTTATCATGACTGTTTCGCACTGTCTTCTCTGTCCTCATATTTCTCGTACGTCTACCTTGAGAGGTAGCACGCATGTGATGGGAGACAGGAAATAAAGGTAGGTAGAAATGAGATAAAATCATAATCATAATAATTTCACTCCTTCAAGAAAACTGACACATCAGGACATCGTTACCCAAGTTCACTCCTCTGTGCTCTTCATATCTTCAGTTCTGAGGCTTCTTTGTACTCCCTAACCTTATTTCTGTTTTGTTGTTTTCTCTTCAGGCCTATCATACCAAAATTCCTTAAAGACTCTCTTTGTCTGTAAATTAAACTAGTGTATAAAATAAAGGGCAAACACCTGAACTTAATGTTAAGAAACAGCTTTAAAGTGTGCAAAGAATGTTTATAGGCAAAACATTTTATATCACTTATATTACAGGATACTTCCAAACACACAAACTCACACACACGTGCACATGTGTGCGCATGTGTGCACACAATCCTGGGCCATATGGCATATCTCTCTAATCTCACACTGTTTGCTGAGTGCACACTTCTGTAGCCTTCCCTAATAAAACCTATGTCAATCAACCAATCAATCAATCAATCAATACAGTGAATAAGTGATGCTGATATTTTCTAACACATTTTTCATTCCACCTGCAACCTACCTCTATGGACATTCTGGAGGTTTTCATTCTACCCCCTTGGACACTCTGCAGTTTGGTTGCTGGATCCTTGACTTATCTATAAGCTTTTAAAACTGAAACCTTTGGCTGTTTTCTCTGCTTTCTTCTGTTACTGAGCTTTGCGGTGCTGAATTCTCTTTCTGGAGGTGGTTTTAGATTTTCTTCTGTCCTGAGACAAGCACAAATAGTAGCAAGTTTTACTCAAGGTAGGAAAAGAAATGGACTCTGCAAAGTGAGCTTGGGCTAAGTAAAAGTAGGAAAAGAAGTATCCCCTATATCATAAGGGCAGCCATCGTGCAAGTGAGAACACAGCAACGAAAAACTCAATGTGGACTGTCATTTCTGTGTCACTCACACCGAGGCTGGAATCAGGTCCAGGGCATCCTACTGAAAGCCTGCTTGAGTTTTGGTAAGAAGTCCATATAAATGGTTTTGGTAACTGTTCTGCTCATCTATTCTTGGATTCTGTAATTAACAGGTCATACCTACTTCCTCAGCCAGCTCTGCCATGCCCTAATCTCCTGTCTCATTTCCCCCTGAGAGACACATATCCTCATAATTCCTTTTCAGGTACTAAGAGAGTGCTGGTCTTTGTCTTCTATAGCTTCTTCTAGCTGGAAGGGGCTGTATAGACCCTACATACTGGACAGTATGTGTTCTCCAACTGCCTTGGAATGTTGTAGCTGAGTGGCTGGGTTGAAGAAAGAAAACCTGTCAGTAGGCAATAAGAAAAGAGTTAGTAACTACTGAGCTGTTTGTTCAATGGAAGAAAGAAAGTAACTTTCCTATTGTGTTTGGGATATAGAGCCAAAATGAGAAGAGCAGGTCAGATTTCCCTCCTTGTGGAGGACAAAGCATGGGAAAGAGAGGGGTTAGGTAAACTGTGGAAAGTCTGAGACCCATAGCCTTAGCAAGAATATCCATATGAAGGATTTAATTAAAAACAGAAGCCTCGGTGCTGGGGATTTAGCTCAGCGGCAAAAGTGCCTGCCTGGCAAGCGCAAGGTCGTGAGTTCGGTTCCCGGTACCGGAGAAAAACAAAACAAAAAAACAAAAAAACAAACAAACAAAAAAAAAAAAAACAGAAGCCTCCACACAGGTGCCCGTGTAAGCTGTGGTGAATTAGGCTTATTAATAACACTAGTTATCTGCACCTGGAACAATACTGGAGTCTTACTTTCTGCAAAGGAGCCTCAGGTCTTCTGGAGGTTCTCAGGAATAGCTTTCTTCTTAGTCCTACAAAAATTCTAGTGACCATCTCCCACGTAAGGTTTCTGTAGTCTGTCACTGCAAACCTTGAGGAAGGGTTCTTCAGAAGCGGGGAATAAGGCCAGGGCCTTGAGGGGCTATAGGGCTGCCCTTCTTACCTCCCTATTAGATTTTTAATTTCCCAAGAATATTTCAGACCTTTCTCTTTGGGATCCTTTGCAATAAGTAACAGCAACATGCTTGGGAAGATAGACTACCTCTAAGAGTTGTAAAGTTTCCTGCTTTTTAAAAAACAGATGATCGATTATTAGTCAGCATGTTGCTTCTTTCCAGATTGTTGCACAGGCACGTAGCACAAGAAAAGGATATTTGGAGTCTGTACAGGTATATAGGTGCTCACTTTTCCTAATATCAATGGCCAAGTAACAGTTGTTACCTCTACCTCTTTCTGAAGTCCTTGGGGGAAAGTTGTACTCAGTGACCTGCTGTGAACTGACAACTGTATAACCTCCCTATTGACGTCTGTCATGGACAAAGCTATTTCTATCAGTGAATAACACCTCCTAAGGGTCTTGAAGGGACAGGTCACTGATGTCCTGCCTGCTTCTTAGCTCTGGAAGATCACTTGTTCACAAGAGTGTCTAACTTCTTGGACTGTAGGCATCAAAGAGGCAGGACTAGGAGGACTATGAATTTTATAATAACCTCTGGGGTGTCTGAGAGCATAGCCTGAGTAACATTTGGTCTCAAGAATTGCTTTGACCTGACAGGGAATCAGGACTTCTAGTTTCAGTCCTAAAGTCTTCCTCTGTAGCACTGCTGTAGCTGCTGTTTCACTCAGGCAGGGTGGCCATCCACAACCACCCCATCTAACTTTTTGCAAAGTATGCCACTGGGCAACATTCTTGTCCAAGGCTTTGGGTAAAGACACCAAAAGAAATCCCTCTATTTTCTGATATGTAGAGGAAGAAGAGTTTTCTGAAGTCAGGTATTCCCTTATACCTTGCAGCAGTATCTACCTGCTGGCTATGTCAGAGAGACCTGGAATAGTCCCAACAGGTAAAATCCATTTTGGCCTTTTCTGGAATTTGAGAATTATCCACAATTTTGCTGGTGAATCTCTTCCCATCCAGGGAGAAGGTGACTCTGAGACAACGAGAAACTTATAGTTAAGCATTAGGCCTTCAAAGCCACATGTCAGAGGATGAGTAAAGAATCTCTAAGGGGTCTCTTCAACTCCAACTATTGCTAAAGAACTAGAAGAGGGTTTTCCAGAGAAATAAGTCAAAACGGAATGAAGTCGTTGATTTCACTTGCCCATGACATTCTGTGTTACACAGAATTCCTCATAAAAGATGGTAATATGGGTGGACAGAGTCATTGTAGGTTCCCTTGGGCCTCTTCAAAATGGGAAAGTAGAGTTTTGGCTGGCATAGCCCCTTTCTGAGAGCAGGGACAGTGAACCTTCCAGTGCCGTGAGTCAGGGACATTGGTTGCTCTTGGCCTTCATGAGTAGAGCACCTTTTCTCAACCAGAACCTTCCACCATATTTGTTCCTTGGAGTCATGAACTGGGGACTGAGGCTGTGAACCAAAAATGAAAATCTCCTCTTCTAAGTTATAGGTGTCAGGTGTTTCATAATGGAATGCAAAACCTCACACTAGCTGACCAGAATATAACCTCCGTGAAAGCTGGAAGCTCATCAGCTCTCTGCATAGCTCTATATGCCCAGCAATAGGCACAAAATAAGTGTTTAGTAAAATGTATTAAAGCATAAGTACATATTGTAAAAATGATAAAAGACAGCATATGCACTGCTGAACACACGACCTGGCACATTTAATACAGTTCATGTACATTATGAATAATAGTAACACACTTCCCCCTTCTCTCATCTCCTTAGGAACTGAATATTCTACTCCATTTTTTAGATATGTTATTTCTTTTGTCCCCAAATTATGTCAGTGTCATTGAAATAAGCATATTTCTACTCCCTAAAGTATTGTCACTATCTTATTCTACTTACATTCAACCGAATGACAGATCACACCACTTTTAATCAACATCCGGGGTTAAGTTTCAATTGTGTGCATGTGCTAATCTGTTATTTAGAACATTTGGGACCAATGAAACAAACAAACTTCTGTCTATAGCAGCTGGCAAACAGTGCCTTCTGCACCTCCGCAGAATGGGACAGCTTGATTCTTTGCTGCCTTAAACTAAATCCCCTTAACCTGAGTGACAACTCAAACCTGATGACTTCAAAGTTGGCGAACTCACTGGGTTTATTGCAGCCAGCTCCACAGGGCACATAAAAGAAAGAACTTTTCCCAGACCTTACCTGTAGGAAAACTCTCCCTGAGTTTTCTCCAGAAAGAAGGAAGGAAACAACAGAAAAGATTAACCCAGTTGCATAAAGAGCAGTAAAGACTGGTGATGCGGCGCTCTCGCAGGTTTGCTTTATGGCTCCCTCCAGAGCAGGCTTGCATCGAGTCCTCATGCTGTGAGACCAAGGCACTGTTTCCCTGGCTATATTTGGCTGACTGGTTATTTCACTTTCTTTTTGCTCTACTCATCTTATTCTGTATCCCCCTGTGAGGTGCAAACAATCCAGAAAGAACTAGACTGCCGTATAGGACTCATGACTTAATTTTCTCTTTCTGAATAATTCATAAAGGAGATCTTAGCAACTTTCCTTTACGTGAGGTTTCCTCACATTCATTTTCCTCCATACTGTGTCTTTCTTCAGTAAACTCAGGAGTTCTGGGTTCTCATTCTCCTCTGGACTTAATCAAAGGTGGATGCCAGGCTTCCAAGTCTGTCCACAGAAGCCTCTAGTTCAGTCTGGAGTGCCACTCAGAGCCTTACAGACATCCCATTTAGTCCTGGTCATTCCATTGCTCAGGCTGTACTGGAGCTACCCTGTCTATCCCATCTATTCAGCTTGAGTCCTACCAATTCCTTCAGTGTGTCTGAGCACCCTGACCCAACCCTCTCACTAGTTTGCCTACCCTTTAGAGTGAGCCCTAGAGTCACCTATCTGTTGTCATTTCACATCTCAATGCTGTATTTATTATCTCAATGTTATTAGTTTTCAACTCTCCTTCAGTAGCCAAATAGCTATGCACACAAACATTACATTAACCTAGATTATTAGTCCATCCTCCAGAAAAACAGAACCGTCATGATCCATTTAGCTATCTACTCTCTTTACTCAAAATAAGACCTAGCAGGAAAATAATCAGCCTTGAAATCTAGACATCAACAATGCCAACCCTAATTAGCCTATTTTTACCTTCCCTGCCATCACTATCCTCTTGGTCAGTGGCTACTCTGTAAGTAGTGGCTACTCAGGTAAGGGAAGGACAGATTGATTGGGCCTGGCAGTTTTGATCACTAGTTTTCAAGGCTGATTCTTTTCTTTTCTTTTTTTTTCATTAGGGCTTATTTTGGGGGGAAACATGATGTGTATGCTTCCGTAGCTACAGGTTCCACATTTACTTACTCCACAGTGAATCAAAAATGTTAAACAAATTTGCATTTGTGTTAAACGTCTATAGATTTTACTTGTCACTCACCCATAAACAATACAACTCCTTATAGAACATTTAGATTGTATTAGTAGTATGAGTAACCCAGACATAATTGAAAGTATGCATGAGGGTGTGTCAATGATATATGGAAATACTATGGTATTGTACATAAGGTACTTAAATATCCATGGATATTGGTGTCTTCTGGGGTTGCAGGGGTGCCCTGGAGACAATCCCTCACAGAGACAACTCTCGTCACCCCCACTGAATGTGTGTGTGTGTGTGTGTGTGTGTGTGTGTGTGTGTGTGTGTGCAGATAGGTGTGGGTGTGTTGTAGAAAGAGAAAGTAATAGGATATGGGGGGATTTACCTTAGGGAATTAGTTTATATGTTTGTAAAGCCTTAGTAAATCCAGAATCTGCAGGGCCATCTGACAGGCTTGAGCCTCTTGAGCCAGGGCCAATCACCTGGCAGAATTCCTTCCCTCTTCAGGGATGATCAGTCTTCCTCCCACTGAAACCTTCAACTGATCAAATGAGACTCACTCACATGCTGCAAGGGAATCTGTTTTACTCAAAGCCCATCAATTTAAATGCAATTTCACCCAGAAAAAAATAACCTTAGAGAAACACCTACGATGCTTGCCAAATACCTGGGCATTGTGTCCAGCCAAATGGGCACACAAAATTAGCCACAGCACAAAGCAGTGTCATCTGTGTCTAATAACTCCACAACCCTCCATCGTCTGAGTCCTCACCCTCTTCTCCCCAGTCACTGGTAACGCATTGTTTCTTCTTGTGAAGAAGCATTTGAATGTTCTCTACCAATGGTACTGATACTCTTTCCTTGCCTTATTCACCTAGCTACTATTTATCCCTCATTCTTTT